CACATTCCTCATCGATGATAAGCTCAAACATGCTTCTGTCAGCTTCCAACACTTTTGGGACAAATTTATTCAGCAGGATGTAAATGTTTATAGAAAGGGAATTTTTGTATTTCTGCTTCACATTTTTAACGAATGTATATTCAAGTTAAAAACATTTTATGCCCTAAAGCAAGGAAAGTAGCCCTTTTACAAAGGCATTCAGCTAACTGTTGATGATGTTTTCACCCGATATCATATAGCTGTTTTTTTCCATCAGGAAGTTCCTGAAACTGGTTATTAAAAGCTGCTAAGGGGCTGAATTTAACATCGGAAGACGTTTAAGGCCTGGGAACAGATTTTATTGTTGTTCTGCAGCAAACCCTCTGCATGACCGTGCTCCGCTGCAGTCCCCATTGCAATTTGTTTTGTAGCACTACCATGGGAGTTGAACTGACGTCAAATACCTTCCGTTCATTCAGGTGGTCGTAGACTGCRGCAGGTCTTCTTTTTCCTAATCAGCTCCTCTGCTCTCTCATCCTTCCCGTAGCCTCTGTGCTCTTCCACTTCCTCCGAACGTTTTAAGATCTGATTTCACTGACTCAGAACACTTCCCTGAACAGACACAGTTCCTGTCTGTTTGCCTTAATGTTTCAGTTTGTCAAATATTACTACTTGCCTAAGGAAAAAACAAAATTTTGACTTGTTGAACAATGGTAATAGAGTCTCTTTATCCATCTTTGTTAATGTTGAGTTGACAGTCTGGACCATGGATCTGCAACCTTTCCAAACAAGAGTCYTTTCTTTCCCTTGGATCACTAATAAAATGTGTCTGGAGCTGCAAAACATGTAATAACTGTGATCATCAACTAGTGGCCCACAGGCCACCTTAAGTTTGTTGAAGGGGTGATGGGGTCCAGCCAGTTTGGTGATATTATGCAACCAAAATTATAATGTGTTATTTTTACACTTTAGGATAAAACAAAATGCTTTATTTGTGTAAACATGAAAAAATAGTTTATACCAAAAGTTAAAAACTTGTTTTTTTATATACATATTTTCATTGTTGTCTAATGAATTCACCACATTTCTTCTCAGCAACTTGTCTGACAGTTGTCCAAAAAATTCCTGATGGATTTCAGAATGATTGAGTATTATTTATCTATTCCAGGGACATAGTTCAAGTGTATACCACAAACAAGTCACTATGTCACCTTTGGTTCTTATAAAAATGCTTTATATATATACAG